ACACACACACACACACACACACACACATATATATATATACACATAATATGTGTATTTATATTATTATATCTATTTTATTATTATTGTATAATTTACTTATAAATATGGTCACAATTTTTCATTGCAGAGTCCCTTTGGTAATTTCGGGGAGTTCCTGAATAGCTCATATCCAGACGCTGCGGATGCTGGAAGCTTACCCGAGGAGTTGGATCCCTTTCCGGAACTGCAACTCGGGAATCCGCAAGGCGTGCCTCCGGTCGACAACTCTGTTCCGTCTCAACAAAGTGTACACCATCAGCAGCCATCACAACCGCCACCACCACCTCCACCTCTCCCCGAAGATATCCAAGCTGATTCTCTTAGGTATGTAAACTCCCTAAACTTTTGATATCCTATCATTGATGATCGTATAAATTTCTTCTAAAGATTTTTCAAATGTCATAAGCAAAGAAATTATATTATTATCAATGATATTAATTATTAATGGCATGATTGAAGTTTTTAGACAACGAAAGTTGATACAGGGTTTGTACAGAATGTTAAGTATCTTTGTTTACAGTCCTACGCCGTTACCGAGCTTCCAGGAGACATACACGCAACGATATACCAGGCAGGAACTCCAAAGTCTTGGTCTTAAGATGGACGAATGCTACGACACTCCGGTATATTGCACCACTACTCATTATCCTGAGTTCTCGGCCGCGGTGCCCTATGAGCAGCAACCACAACAGCAGCATCCTCATCATCATCCGCAGCATCATCAGCAAGCCCCGCATCATCATCAAAGTTACTTCCCCACGGAATCGGCGCCCACCCCGGCAACGACGGTTGTACCCTCCAATCATCGGCAGGATCCATCCTACGGAGTGACTGTCGCCATGCCTATAGTTTACGGAGCACCATCAGTTATCGCTGTCGCCACTCCCGTAGTTCCTACCGATCTCTGTCCCACTGTTGTCACCAGCGTCGATTCCAGCGTCATTGGTACTACTCGGCCGCGAAGGGCGTCATTGCCCACACAGAGATCAGAATCAGCAAGGTAAGATCTTTGATGAAATAAATATATTTAATAAATAAACTTCAAGTCTCATTGTGCTCCTCATATAAATTAATAACATTCTAACATGAAAGAAAGAAAAAAATTTGTCATATCTTTGTTCATTATTTCGTTCACTCACAATTTCATTTGCTAAATTAAATTTATTTATGAGTATACAAAATGGAAACAAAAGTTTGTAGTTAAAAAATTTTAATTCACATTTAACTTTGGAATAATAAAATAAATTGAGCAATTTGTCTAAATCTATGTATGTGACAGATCTTTTCAATTTTATTGTAAATGTTGGAATATGAAAGACGCGACTTCGGTTCTGCGTTTATGATTAGCGATGCGTATTTCGAGGACACGAGATCTGATAGTTTTGGAAGAACTCCCGTTCTGACTAGTGACGGGTTATAGATCAATGCACGTCCTGTGTCGTGTTAACAGTAGTGGGAGCACGGATTCCCCAAAGCCGCGCGGCGGCGGCGGTACCGCGAGTTCCACTGTCAGTTCACCATCGCCCGGAAGCGGTACCAGTGGCGAACGCGCACCTCCGAGTCCGAGCCAGCTCTGCGCTGTATGCGGTGATACCGCGGCCTGTCAGCACTATGGTGTACGCACATGCGAGGGCTGCAAGGGTTTCTTCAAGAGAACTGTGCAAAAGGGCTCCAAATATGTGTGCTTGGCCGAGAAGGCTTGCCCAGTAGACAAACGCCGGCGAAATCGTTGCCAGTTCTGCCGATTCCAGAAGTGCCTGATGGTTGGCATGGTCAAAGAGGTAAAAAACTTGTTCGCTGTATAATATATTCCAAAATTTTTTTAAAATTTTTTAGTTTATATAATATTAACTCTCGATTACAGCAATGGGTCATTTGGACTCCAAGCGAAAATGAACGATTTGTATGATTGGTACTGTGAGGTTCTAGATTGTAAAAATACTTGGAACCTTCCTCTATCAATCATCGCAAGGTAGAGATTCGCTTGCATTCTGTACTTCAAATAGATTAAAATTTAAACAATTGAAATTTTAGATGTAGTTTTCATAATTGTAATTGAGAATTAAGAAGTTATAGATACATCTACATCTCAGTGTGATGAAAATAAACTCTTGGTGATTAACTAATAAAATATGTCAAAATTGCTTTTAAGATTTAAAATTAAATGAAAACTTATATATATTAAATTAAATAATTGAAATTATTAAATTCTTAAAAAACGCGGAAAAATATTATAATGCAAACGAAATAATTACAAATATGAAATAAAATAAATGTAACTTAATTTATTATTTAATTGTTGGACAGGTCGTTAGAACAGATTCTCTGAAGGGCCGTCGAGGCAGGTTGCCCTCAAAGCCCAAGTCACCGCAAGAATCCCCACCGAGTCCACCGATCTCTTTGATTACCGCTCTGGTTCGCGCCCATCTTGACACAACGCCGGACAAGGCAAGTTTGGATTACTCACAGTACCGACAACCTAGACCGGGTGATCCACCAATAACCGAGGCCGAGAAGATTCAACAGTTCTACAATTTATTGACAACCTCGATCGATGTTATCCGAAATTTCGCCGACAAAATCCCCGGATTCACGGATCTAGTGCGGGAAGATCAGGTGAACGATCATTTATTACGCATAAAAACAATCAATAAGATAATATATTAGCCTTCATAACAACTTATAAATAATACGAGGAATAATGTCTCCAAAAATACATAACTTTTTTACACAAAAGTCTTGAAGTTTGAATTTGTGAGAATTTATTGTTGTTTTTTTCTCGTCTCTTCTAATTTTTTTTCATCTCAAAAATTAAGAGATATATGCTTTTATTATATCACTGGTCAGATATCGATTCTTGGGCGATATCCATTGGGAACTAACGGTTATAGAGATCGATAGCTTATACATTTTCTAAAAGGTCAGTCTTGACGAGCTTTTGACGCGGTCGGTTGCTTGGCTGACTAGCAGACTGCTCGGTAGAACGATAGATGATAATTTGTTAATATATCTATAATCAGAAGAGATTTTGTTGTTTAACATTTGTCATTATATCTAAATAAAATTATGTTATTCTTTTGTAAATGAAAGATGTTTAATATCGCGAATAATAAAATATCTTTAGAACATCTTTCGGTTATCTCGATAGTTTACGTGTTATGGACAATACATTCGTGTATTAATAATTTCACAATGTAATCTGCTTTCAGGAATTGCTCTTCCAATCGGCCAGTCTAGAACTGTTTGTGCTCAGGCTGGCGTACCGCACGCACCCGGACGACACGAAGCTGGTCTTCTGCAACGGCGTTGTCCTCGCGTTGGAGCAGTGTCAGCGTAGCTTCGGCGATTGGCTGCACAGCATACTTGACTTTTGCAAAGCCCTCCACTTCCTGGAGGTCGATATCAGCGCCTTCGCCTGTCTGTGCGCTCTCACCCTGGTTACTGGTTAGTACTAGATTATTCCCTTGATTTCATGGTCGAATGAATTGCCATAGTTGCGCTTCTGCTATCGTAAGTATTAATTATTTTACAATCGAGCTCTATAGTTGTCACACTGCGGTTCTGCTGGTTATTTCTTTAACGGCACCTTCAGTCTTCCTTTATCCGGTTCGCTCTACCCATATTCTGTTATATCGGTCGGCCTAAATAATTAATCCGTCGGATCAATTAATTATTGATGCTCCGACGAAAGGAACGACGATGTTCCTCGTTCCGCACGCGATCCGTTAGCAACCAGACATGCAGGTGTGCGGTTTACAAGCGCGTCCAATCAGAGTTTCCGTGTTTAGATAGCTATGTGTCGAAGGTCGAGTGACTGATATTATTGGAGTTTAATTGATTTATCAATGTTTCTTAATCTTGAATGTTAGTAGTATAGTAATTAAATCAACTGTAATACATCATTCATATTGGAACTTTTTAAGATACTTTTGATTAAATTCTCGCGATTTAATTTTCGAAAACAATGTGAAATTTAATCTATAGCTGATGATTTAATATTAAAGTTTCCGATGTTATTCACAGAATGTTATTGTTTAATACAATTGTATGGCAATTCATAGATTCCGTTAATCTTATACTATTTTGAGAAAACAGCGATCTCATTCAAGCTGATTCGCGTGCTTTCAGAGAGGTACGGATTGAAAGAACCGCAGCGCATGGAACAGCTGCAGATGAAAATTGTCTCGTCCTTGCGCGACCACGTGACCTATAATGCCGAGGCGCAGAGGAAGTCGCAGTACCTGTCGTACCTACTGGGGAAGATACCGGAGCTGAGAAGTCTCTCGGTCCAAGGCCTCCAGCGGATCTTTTACCTCAAGTTGGAGGACTTGGTGCCGGCGCCACCCCTGATCGAGACGATGTTTGTTGGTAGCCTGCCCTTCTAAACCAAGCAGCCTCGCCAGCACATAGAGCAATTATTTTCTCAGACCCATGCGGTTGCGTTATCTTCGTTCTGATTGCATCCTTCTTAGTTCGTATTACACATAGCTTTATTCTCTTCTTGCGTGTAACCTCGCGCGATCCCGTGGGTACGTACGATTCTCGACGACGTTCTTGATGACGTTGATCCTCTCGCGCTCTGCAAAGGATAATCCTGGAAGGACTAGTCGAGCGGAAAGAGCAAGGAGAGCCATTACTGGTCGATTATGCTCGAGCGAGCGCGGACGGAAGCTGTCCGCGCGAACGCAGACGCTAAATTTAAGGGAAAGTTTATTGTACGTATGTATGAACGAATGAATAATGTATATGTGTGAATGTGTAAACGGATGTATGCATCACATGCGAACGTAAGTGTACAGAGTGTCTTGTAGGTCTCTGCATGCACGACGTGTCGGATGGCGGGTCACACATCGCCGTTATACTATTAGTAGTATAAGTGCACTACTATAGTCACTGTTGTTGTGCTGCTGCTGCTACTAGAGAGCGGATCGGCGCGAGATGACAGAAACATCGGCGGATAAAGAAAGCGGGCACGAGGCGGGCCGTGGCGATTTCGCTATTCTCTCTTCTAGCTGTAGTAGATTTCGTGCGAACTTGGATGGACAGGGAGAGATACCTCTTTCTCTCTTTCTCGCAGGAAGGCTCTTCGCGCGAATTTTTCTCACTTTTCTACCTAGTTTGTACGAGGCTCTCCGTGCTCTCGCGCTCGGCTCGCCTCGTCGCTCCTACGGCCAACGCACGTGACCCGCCACTTCTACTGGACATGTGCAGTATCTTTGGCAATACCTTGCCCGTCGCGGGGGAACGCATCGGCGATTCGCAACATATCAGAGCAACGACGGGGAGGGCGAATAATGCCCGTCCGTCTTAATAGTAGATATAGGATGTGACTGTTGGTCGCGCTCTCGATAGCTGGACGATGCCGAGTGCAGATGCATCGATTGCTTCATATGCATGGCAAGAATCGATGTTTTCTATGTTACATCAAGTTAAAAATATTCTTTTATTTATTCTTCGTTATTTTATATCGTGGACATACTTATCTGTCCCTGATGTGCGCTTTACAGTCTCGAGGCAAATATGATTGAGCGCAATAAAGAATATCGAATGAGAAACTCGATGGTGGAAATTGAAATACAAGCGAAAGCTATGAGTTCACGTGCATTTAAAAAGCTGCAGGGTTGCAATATGTGTCCTATCTATGCTAATGGAAAATGAGTTTAGGAGTGACACTATTATTTTATGAGTTTATGGTAAACCGTAGAAAAATTAATAACTCAACTAGATACATTTCAATCATAGTATTTTTATACACATTTTTTATACATTTTAGATATGCGCATCATTTTTAATTAAAAATTCAGTAAGTATTTCAAATGTCAGTTATCTTAAACCGTAAATATTTACCAAGACCAGACATTTTTACCAAGTATTTTACAAGTAGATACATCTAACAAATAATTTAAAATAATCTGATTAAAAGTAATTGATCAGAAGTCATCAAGTAGAAAGAGTTAGCACATTCTTTTTTATTAAATTATTTAATTGTATATTTTGATATCGAGAACAGAGAAGCGCGTAAGTGGATTTCAAGTTTCGCAGCCTCGCAACGCAGTTTATATATTTTCACCATAAGATTTTCACAGATTTCATACAGTGATTACCGCGATTCGTAGAGTTCTTTTTTTCTCTCACGTAACGCATTCGTAAACGAGCTCGGCATTGTCAATGCTGTTTGAGTGCCGTCCGAAGCGCATGGTCGATATCAATCGACTCTTTACCACTATTCTTGCGTTTATGTGATTTTAGAGAGCTAAGGCGAACAATCACGGGCTCGCCTCGTTTGGAAAAGTGAGAAAAATTTTTAATTCAGCACGAGACAGCGAGGCGGGTCCGGCTTAAAGTTACCTATTACGTTATGACATTTACTTTTTTAATCAAACTAACGTAGAGTGTCCTATTTATATACGTATAACGCGCCGCTACTACTACTTAACTACTACAACTACTACTTTACTATACCGTTATACTTATTACTACTCATTGATAGCGTTACTATTCTATGGCGTTACTACCACTACTACCACTGTTACCAGCGCTACCTTTACTACCACCTTGTGTTACCATTGTCTCGCTACAGTAAACTTCGCCGTCGTTGTCGTCGTCGTTAAAATACCCCTTAACGCACCAGTATCCTATAATCGACGCGATAGACGGCAGAGGATGCTGATCGAGGCTTTCAAACAGGCGTCCTCGCCGCCAGAATTACCGCAGTCGACATGCATCTTTGTTTTTTGATGTATATCTTAATATTTTATCCACGTTTAAGTACCGTAAGATAAAGTAAGATTGCATATAGGGAATAACTTCGCATTGAAGTGAAAAGAGATTTCACGATTATTTTTCACCTACACACACACACACACACACACACACACACACACACACACACACACACACACACACACACACACACACACACACATACACACAATGTTCAATATATTTAAATATATTTAAATATGAAAATTTTACTTCTCTCTTTATTCGACTTCGCCTTTTATCTTAATGAAAACGTTATATATCATTCTTAAAAATTTTATTTTATTGTTATTATTAAAGTTACACTTTTTGTACTTTTTATATTTTTTGTAGTTTTTAAGATTTCTTTTATAATTTTAATCTTTTTTATTTTATTTATACTGAGAGAAATAATATTTACGATAGTAAGCTTTAGCATCAACTGTTACGGTTGCTTTAGTTAATTATCTTTTTAGATTACTTTAGATAATCCTGAGATCTATTTTTGTTCAGGCGTAGTTACCATTGCCTGTGTAATCTTACGATACCACCGTCGCAACACGATCCAAGCTTCTTAACACGACAGACATTGTCCTTACAGACATACACACATACACATATACACACACACATGCATAAACAAAGATCACATTAATTACCTGTATGTGCACAATAGATATAATAATTACATGTGTATATGTTAATATAAAGTCGTGTGTATCCGCAAATGTTCGACGCTTCGCAGACATGGCGGAATCAATACCTGAATCAAATTCGTCTTTTACTAGCTATCTATGATTGTGATTCCTTGTATTATTAATGTCTTTTGTATTCTGTTTAGCGATATCGTTCGCGTGATGTTCTCGATTCGCGATCTCGTACACAATGCAGTGCACGGAAGAAGTAATAATAAGAAGTAATCAAATACACTCGCGTTCAATTTCCGTCGCTGGAAACGGACATTTTTACCTTTATTCAATCGTTCCGAAAACTTTTGCTAGTACTTTGGAAGTATTTTCTCAATTCTTGTTGCTAATTAAAATTTAATGCTTTGCGGCCTAAAAAATTCACTCTCTAAAACTCTTGGAGCGAATATCACTCTGCAGAGTGAAATCTCATTCCTAAAAATTGAAAATTGAGCTATTTTTCTTCTCAAGATTAACTCAATTTTAACTCTTTATTCCATTCGAAAGAATTTAGAGAGTAGACACGGATAATTTTGTGTCAAGATAATTAGATCAAAAATTAATCTGGAAATCAAAAAGAAAATTATTATTTTTTTTTTAATATATCATCTATTCTCCAAAAACGCAATCACAGCAATCACAATGAGATAATATTAACTACCAATAATATTTATAATATTTAATTGCCGATTGTAAATCCATAAAATAATTTTGGCCGTAAAGGATTAATTAATAATAATTGTACTGTGCTATTTGTGAATAAATATTATAAAGGAACGGTTTCTTGTAAAAATTCAAGACTCGCCATGACGATCATTTAACATATTTGTGATGAGAAATTGAAAATCTTTTTAAACGAAAATGTTAAATATTCAACTGTTTACAATAACATATTTGCGATAATGTATTGGAGAATAATATTCAAATCTTATATAAATTACGATATAATAATTATATATTTATCACATACATGGCGAATTCAATGGACACCGTTGCTATATGCTGGCCGATATAGGCACAATAATCTTATATCGCATATATATGTGTCACGCGTTTGTTAAGCACTAGCGATGACGTTTGAAATAATCAATCTTTATGCTCTATAATTACTCTTTTTACAAAGAAACAAATTCCGTTTCCAGTGGGCGCAAAAATTCGGTATTGATGCAAAAAACTGCGCAATAGATGACATATCAAGTTCTTCCCCTCAAAAAATTGCCATGTTTGTAAAAAATGTTTCTCCGTGTACCAAATGATTCATTATAATACAATTCATTTACACGTCCACGTTTGCGGATGGATACGCGCGCAAGTGTTCAAAAGACAAAATGCCCGGTAAGAATGCAAGGTAAACAGGATCCGAGGGTATCAAGGTTTGTGCGACCCTTGCGATCGAAATTAAGATAACGCATGCGAGAGCGTCGATTCTGCTTTTGTTCGAAGAGCGCAAATTTTCGAAGAGCTTGTTCTCGCTGGAGAAAACTAATTCGCGCCACGAAATCGATAGCAATAAGATAAGGAAGTTCTTTACGATACCAGACTGATGTCAATGTTCTGTCAGAGGATATTTGTAAAGAAAATAAGATATTTATGAACTATTCATTGAAGAGTTTTAGAGATACAAAAATCTTGCCTTTTTAGAATTTCTAAAAGTAATCACTTTTTGAGAATCCTCTTTAGCGTCGAGAGATTGTAACAAATATTTCTAGGCATACAGAAATATTAAACGTTGAGCTTTGAAATATTTACAAAATAATGTCTCAGTAAATATAAATGTTTTCTTCCGTCCGTTGTGAAGATAAGTACTTAATAATGAGACAGTTGGACGAATTGAATGGAAATCCCAAGAAATAACTAGAAAAAAATAACTAGAAAAAAAAAAGAAAAAATAATTTTGTATTAATGAAGATAAAATCAGGTAACGCATTGGCATCGATCTGTATCAATATAAAATGGAAATCATTTTTCATATTTGTAAGAAACGTGGTGCAA